GCTGCAATTACGGCCGAAGCCTGGCTGGGGCAATTATTTTTCTTTTATTAGCCCAGCCGGCTTGCGCCAGGCTGGGATCTGAGGCTCGGTTTCCATTCGAAAGGCGGCAGCCGGCGCATACTTTTGAATGCCATTTCCTACCGCCAGCGGTAGCCGGCTGAGCTAATTTAAAAAATGCAGCCAGGACGCATAAGTGCAGTTAGCTGCCGCTGGCTGGTATATTTATTTTTGACGAAAAGTTTCTCTTTATAATCCCAATGATTTTACTGCATTTGATGTACGTTTTGTTACAATAATCGTTCCAATTTAGAGTCTCATTAGTCGTAGGACCAGGATATTTATCAGTATTTTCATTTAAACCTTGTCAATACATGTGATATACATATTCAACCTTGAGGATCTTTAGGACATTTTACATTTCGATATATTTATATCAAGAAGCCATTTCTTTGAACATTTACTTTAAGTTTCGAGATCATCTTTCATCTATATAAAGTACAGTCATCGACATAAACTTTTATGATAGAAACAATATTATCAGATATGCCATTTATAAAACATTGGGGTAACTTATTTGCTTTATTTGCTTTATTTGCTTTATCATTCATTTGCATGTTTATTGTTGAAATAAGGGCACTGAGGCTGGAGTAGAAATAGAAAAATTAGAAAATTATGCACGTGGGATAACATATTGTCAGACTGATCATGCTAGGAACACGATCACACAGGTTTTTTCAGAAATCAACTTAAGGGCAATTACAATACCTTTTTGGACTTCCTACAGTCGTTTAAATCTTTGTATATTTTACAAGGTCATGGGAAAGCTAATGCCAATTACTTAAGATGTGTTTTTCAGTCTTTGCGGTCGTGTTAAGTCTTTAAAGATTAAGCAAAGGTCATATAAAATATGATTGAGCCAAAAAAAAAAAACATTTTTTTTTAATTTTACATTTTTAATTCCTTACATGCTTAAGATTTCTATACAAAATCCACTTACTCCTTTGTTATCATTGGATTACTACATGTTTATGATGATAAGTTTGAAAAAATTCACAAACGGGTTCATTGGACCTTGATACATGGCTACCTCCACGTTGTATATCATAAATGCCAAAATAATAAAAAGAATATATATATAGCTTTCGGACCTCGTTTAGTGAATCATTAATTTAGTATATTTGCATTTGCCATATTATAATACAAATAATGAAGATTTCTCAGAATATTTGTTTAGCAGGTCTGTCTTCAATAGGGACAATCCGTTTGATTCATTTATTTTTTTGACATAACTTCGAATGAAATGGGTGATATACACCATCTTTAATGTGAAAATTGCACCTTAGAAGCAGTTAGAGCGGGAGGTGGGCGGGGGGGGGGGGTGCTTTGGGGCTCTAGTCCGCCCCAATACTACTTGATCCCCACATCTACACACCCTTCTTTAATCATAGAAAAAAATGGCTACGTGCATATAATTATAATTGTAAAGAAAGAGACTATTTAAAATGCAGATGCTTTCTAATGAGAATTACATATTTGAAACCTCAAACGCTAGTTCGAGAAGGCAATCTTCATTATGATTTGTGAAGCGTTTACTTAGACCCATATTCAGAAAGATCATCTAAGGGCCCCACTTACAAAGAGTTGCGATTGATGCAAATCAGTCGTAAGTCCTCCAATCAATCGCAAGCTTGCAGTCTCCTATATGTTATGTACATAGTTGCGATTGATACCAACTCTTTGTAAGACGGGGCCTAGATCTGTTCAAAATTAGATGCGCTTATTGTAAGCTAAATAAGTTATTTACTTCGTATCATGTTGAAAATGTGCTGTAATTAAATATCCTATATAAAGCCATGTTTAAAACGTTGAAATCACACTGGCTTTTAAAAGTAACAGCACCTACTCTTCCTAATATCATAATATGAGACGGTAGATCTAAGACAGCAACGTACCGTTTGGGTCTACAACTGGTTTGTCTATTACCCAATTAGTATATTCCCATTTGGTCTACACTCAGCCCGTTTTGCCGTTACAATAGAGAAAACGCCAAACAAGTGTGTTATAGGAACATTGGTAAAAGAACATTAGATATGCACAAGACGTGGCGAAATATACAAACAGCATCGACAACAGAAGAGCGGGAAGTACTGTTATCACTATTACACACTGGAAGTTATACTCTGGCAATTACGTTGGCGCATCATTTCAAGTGTAAAGCAATTTAATATATGTTCTAGTCTGACATTTGACAGAGAAAAGACAAGAAATATTTAAGGTTGGAAGGTATCGAGGTTCTCAAATTGTGGTTGATATCCGCCTAGTTGATAATTTTTGTTTAATGCATACAGAGAAATGTCTTTTTTTGAATACATGTTTACACAAACAGGTATAGCAGCTGGTCGATGCCAAGCAATCACAATTAATGGAGTTTACTCAAATCGTATAGGAATATGAAGACCCGTTACAGGGGAAGTCTATCCCAATATTAAGTTAGTTTTAATGGAAGAAGACAACTTAGACAAACAGTTTACTGAAATTTCTAGCAACATCTGGATAACATTGTGTACGTTATTAATGGTAAAGGTGCGATTTACCAGACACTAATTGGAAACTCTGTGACGTATCTTGCGAGATCCCCTCCTATTTGCCTTGAACTAAAAATAACTTTAAACAATTATATTTTCCCTTAAGAACATTTTCAATCATACCGATTCACCTTAAATTTAAATATAGCAATATACAACACCAGCATTAACAATGTTTGTATTGAGTCATCAATTGATAAGAAAATGAAAGTTTATACAAATAATATTTGGAGAGCAAATTTGGAGAAGGGGACGCAAAATACGAACCAGTGTTGGCAATTTGCGTATCAGCAATGACAACTTCAAAATGTCATAGCTTTCCTATTTTTAATCGGATGTTGCTCAAACCTTCACCAATTTCTCTCTCTCATTTTCTGATTTCATTAAAACCAAGTTAATATAAGCAGGGGCGTACGAAGGGGGGGGGGGGGGGGGGGGGGGGGGGGGGGGGGGGGGGGGGGGGGGGGGGGGGGGGGGGGTATTTTTACGTGTGTAACCCCCCCCCCCCCCAAAAAAAAAAATAAAACCCCCAAATAGATAAACCCCCCCCCCTTTGTTTTTGTTTTTTTTGATTTTTTTTTTTTTTTAAATTAAAAAAAAAAAAAGAAAAAAAAAAGAAAAATTAAGCCCATGGCTAACATAAATTGATCTTAACCTCCCCCCCACGAAAATTAGAGACCCCCCCCCCCTCCAAAAAAGGGTCCGCTTACCCCCCCCCCCCCTCCCCCCCCCCCCCCCCCCACTGAGCGACTTTTCGGTTGGCTGAGTCGTTGCGATTTTTTTTTGGACTACCAAAAAAAAAAAAAAAGTGTCCCCTTCCCCCCCCCCCCCCCCCCCCCCCCCCCCCCCCCCCCCCCCCCCCCCCCCAACTGAGCGACTTTTCGGCCGGCGCGATTTTCAAATTTTCGGGAGCAAAATATTTTGGGCCAGATTTTAACCCCCCCCCCCCTTGAAAAAATCCTGCGTACGCCCCTGAATATAAGGGTGGACCATCCCTTTAAAAACATTTGTCAACTGGGCCTTTCAACGAGACACCCTAAAAAAACGCCGCAGGTACGACTATTTGTTCGTGTAATTATTACAACAAATACAAACATATGTATTCTAAGAATTTAGATAACTTTATCAATTTGGGCTTGATCTAATTATTGGTACCTAGTACACTAAGTAGGTTGCAAATTGCATTACACCTGACAGAATTTTAATAAATTTCCTCTCCCCATGATGGCATACATTTCTGAATGCAAGAAATATTCATTGTACTACAGTGTCATGATTGGCCGTATTCTACAAAAATAAACTCATGTACTTTACTTAAGTTAGTATTATTCGTTACTTGTAAAGTGCATTATCAAACTATGATAGTGTTTGTGTGTGCTTCAAAAGTATTTTGGATGTTATTACCCCCGACTTTAGCTACAATACTATGAACTTTTTGAAAACGGATGGAAGGCGAGAACAATCATTAAAAAGTAAGCAGAGGTGGATTTAAGAGAGGGTGTACTCAGTTTGGGTTTTCTTTTTTAATTTGTTTATGGAAGTATCCCCCCGTACATTCTAAAATAATATGAACAAAAGTAAGAAAAGAAAACATAATTAACATGTGATAAAGGATTTATCGCTATAAAACCCTTTATATGCCTAATCAGTGCTCCGGCAGTAAATTTTAAGTCTTAATTCCTCTAAACGATGATTATAGACGTTGCGTAAAAATAATCAGACATAGAGAATGTCAAGAGCAGACTTCGATTTGGTTGTGAGATCAAAAGTGCTTTAAAAATGTAAAATTCCAAACCAATTCCAACGGCATTCCTTGACTGTAGCCTAAATTATTATACGCAAACTCTCGGTTTACCGGGGATTGAGGGGGGGGGGGGGGGGGAGTTATGTTGTGGGGTTCCTGATGATTAATAATGCATACTGGTCCAGAACCCTCGAAGTTTTGCTCAATATGTCACCGTTTTTGAGTAACTGTGCAAAGTCTATATCATCATATAAAACCAAATATTTGTATATGGTTGAATTGGCTTAGCAAACATGACGTTAACATTCATTTTTGTATAAGTATTACGTAGCAACCTTGTTCATTTGAATATTAAACTTAAGACCACGATCGTTATGCATATTTCGTCATGAACATGAACACCTACAGTAAAAATAGCGGAATCACCATCATGTCTACGCATGATAAAATGATAAAAGCTGGGCATTGTTTCACGATACCGTCATAAGCACAAGTTCGCCAACAAACCATTGAAACGCGCACTTATAAATCAACACACTTTTCAAGAGGTCTGCGATGCCCTGGACTTTAAGAGATTAATACAGGGAATTGTTATTTATTAAGCTTTTCTTGTCACGCACACGTCTCAAGGGTGTTGTTTACATAACCCGCGCTGGTAGTTATGTTTTTGGATACTCGATAAACTAAGAGCAGGGTACAAAATCACTTGAGATTGATTAGTGAACATATTTCTTTCATGGTCCACAAGCTATATAGATCGCGGAAGCAAGAACCAATATGCCATGGACAAGTTTGAAGGTAAGAAGATTAAATCACTCGGAAAGAGGGCTAGTTTAATAGCTTTAGTTCGGCAACTTATGTTGGCGCCATTTTGTTAAATAAAGTCATGGGCTGAATTAATAGACGGGCACAAGCCCTGTCAATAGTAGTGGGTATGAGAGTGCATATACTGTTAGACTATGAAGATTGCACAGTCTATGCATGCTCACTATTGTAGCTACTCATGACTTTGTTACTCTATGCATATGAGTATGTTCTATTTTAAAAACGCAGAAATAAAAACAAACAAATAAGTTTTGACACAAAGACTGAAATATTTAGGCGTAACTGATGCATGCGTGGAATGTTGTAGGAGTCTTATATAAAGTCTGTTCCTACAAATGTAAGAAATCAATTGGGGTTATGATATCATTTTAATAGCTATTAAATTAATTGTTCGTCCTTACTGCCTTATTTTTTGAGGAATTTGAGAGCCTGTCTGTCGGTAAACGTAGCTGGCGTAGCCGAATATCGATCAACCCGTCTCCATGGTATATTGGTTGGTGGCGTTCATAACAACTCAGAGCGGCGACCGACCGATTTGTAGTCTGCTCGGTCGTCGTGAAATTTAGGCATCGCCAAGCGATTTTTCAAGCAGGCTGTTGAGCACCTGCGATGTCTGGGTGGTGCGCTGTCAATTTCCCGTCGGTCGCTTGTCCATTTTTGGTCAAAACTGGGCGAAATTAGAGAGCTTATACGGGCGGCGTCCCGGCAGTGACCGACTGATGACCCACCAATTCCCGAGCGGTCTCCCACTGGCCAGCGGTTGATTTTAAAGAAATTCCCCGGCGGCCGGCCGTTGATCGGCGGGGCACCAACATACGCTCGGTTCCCGGGCGGTCGCTGCTCGGGCACTGACCTAATCGAGCGTTCGCCGTCGAACGATTTAGGTAAACATTCGATGCCGCTAGGTCAAAGGCTGCCGACCGATTTTGAACTCGCTGCCCAGTGACCGACTAATTTCCCAGCGGCGATCAACCGGCGACCGGGCTGCGACCGCTCTGCAGCCTTTGACCTAGCGGTTTCGATTTTGATTTAACTCGCTCAACGGCGAACGCTCGATTAGGTCGGTGACCTTTTGGTGTTTCCCAGTGGCCTTGAAATAGGGCCCTTGCGCAAAAGAATATTGACGATCCATATATTGCAAAGTATTTATACTTTGGCTATTAATAGACCTGCAAAATTGTGTTATTTTTTGAGAACGCAATACCTATCGCTGAAGGTTAGTAAAATATTCCCACAAATCGGTTCTAGGACACCTACCCCTTGGACTTCCACCACCCCCGATAACTACCCCCAGTTAACTATCCCCTAGGACAACTACCCCCAGGGGCATCCACCATCTTGGAGGACTACCCCCCGGGACAACTACCTCCGGACAACTACCCCCAGTAAAGACAATGGACCCCAAGGACAACTACCGTAGGACGACTATCCCTTGGACAACTACCCCCTAGGACAACTAACCCCTAGGACAACTACCCCCGGACAACTAACAACCCAGACAACTACGCCCAGACAACTACACCCTAAGACAACCATCCTCTTGGACAACAACCCCCGACAACTATCCTAGGGGGTAGTTGTCTGGGGTAAGTTATCCGGGGTTAGTTGTCATATGGGTAGTTGTCCAAGGGGGTAGTTGTCCGGGGTAGTCGTCCGGTAGATAATTGTCCTGGGGGTAGCCGTCTTAGAGCTTGGTTGACATCTAGGGTAGTTGGCCTAGGGGGTAGTTGTCCTAGGGGGTAGTTGACTGGGGTGGTTATCCGGGGGGTAGATGTTCAGGGGGTAGGTGTCCAGATACCATCTGAATAAATATATGTCCTATGGGAACTCAGTGTTATAGTGCTCTGGTTCCTAATGTTGTGAACCGGAGCACTATAACACTGAGTTCCAATATTTATTCAAATGATCATATCTCAACTGATACTTAATATGTTCAATTGGTTTTCGACATTCGGACATTATTTTTGATGCTCTTTCGGAAAATAAAGAGAAAATTGAGAAATTCTAAAAATTGATTTTTTTTTTTGACATCACAATTCACCACTCTATAATATCGCAATAGGCTGAAGTGCCATCCAGGGAGTTCAGAATGTTGATTTATTTTGTGTGGGAAAGCCTGGCACCAATGACAGGAAAAAAATAAATCTGTTAACGATTAGAGACCCCATTGATATATGAAGCGCTATATTAACTCTTATCATGGCACATGACAAATCCCCATTGTGCAAAGCCACAAATCCCCCCGAGCCAAGTTTAGTTTGAGATAATCTGTTTAACGCGATGGTACTATGAATAGCGCGTGCGAAACACACATCACGTACAGTTTAATGAGCATGAACAATAACTGTTACTACGAATGCGTGCAAGCAATTATGGCTCGCATGTAGCATGCATACATCCCTATGACAGGATATGAGTTAAACCAGAATATTATTATATTTTCTAATTTTCATTTGTGGTGGATGTGAGTGGATGGGGAAGATAAACAAAGTGAGGGAGAGATATAATGAGAGCAAACAAAGAGACAGATAACAAAAACAAAATAAACGCTCTCAAGAACAATTTCACTGACCGACACCGACACCATCACATTCTGCTCATCGCCCGCTTTGTCCCAACAGGGTATTACCATTTCTATTCAATTACGTGTCTGTACAGCTATTTCGATCTAGAAATAGATTCTCAGTTCATTCTTTCTGTCCTATCAACTCGGCTACCCTCAAAATTACCTTACTGACATGGGCCGCAGTCAGCGTCTCCTGAACCACTCTGCTCACCGAACGCAATGTCCCAACAGGGTACAAACATTTCTATTCAATAACGTGTCTGTACAGCTATTGCGATCTGAAAATACATGCGCAGTTTATTGGTTTCTGTCTTTTCTACTCAGCTATCTTCGTAATATTCTTACTGACATGGGCCGCAGTCAGCGTCTTCGGAAGCTCTCCAGACATTTCCACGACGGCCGGTGACACTGTCAACATACCATGTGTCTTCGGGGAAGGCACGTTACGTAATATATACTGGTATTACAACGATGGCACTGGGCCTCAGAAGATATTGTTCCTTCGCGAGGGAGTCTTAGCTATAGATCCAGAATATGCAGATCGAGCAAATTTGCAAAATGACAATGCGACGCTTATCCTGAAAGACATAGCCGTGGCTGATGAGGGGATTTATCGATGTGACGTGGACCGGCAAGGACAAACGCCAGTGCCCAATATTAACACCAAGCTCAATGTTTTCAGTAAGTTTATTTTTTGATCTCCTTGACAATCAAGAACAAGTATCGATTATGACATCGTTTATAGAACAGTTACACTTTTGCATAAAACATAGACCTCCAGGCCACATTAGAGCAGTTTTGTTTGATATTAATAATATTAATAACTTTGATTACCACGGAAGCCTCATTAGCACCATGATTTTTCTTGCTGAAAGTCCTACAATTATCCCATCCCAAGTAATTGCCAAGTTTCCATGACATCTGGGCTGAGAGTGGTAACTCCAAAGAGTATTTCATCCATCAATCCAAATTCTGAGAAAAACATGATTAATTTTGTTGTATTATCATAGTTTAATAGCAATGTCAGTTTGGGATGACACTTTGGCTGATTAAACTATTGTATGATACAAGTATAAAACCACTTTTTTAAACAAAATCTAAGTCTGCATAAATAGTTTTCACGAATTTATGTTTTTACAATTTTTGTGGATGTAGTATTTTTTGGAACCGAAATTGGATGTAGTACTTTTTGGAACCGAACATATTGCACACTGTTTGCAAGTTACAAAGCACAACTTGGATGGCTATAGTACCTTTTGCAACCAAACTGATTTTTAAATGGCATCCAGCTTTTCGGAAGTGCCAATGTATGAGGCTACTGGAAATGTGTGCATTAATGCAAATGTTGTCCCTCTGGATTATTTTGTATATATATGGTACTGGGCAAAATATGTGGCTATTACTGCAGGTCCTTCAGGAAGAATAGTAGTAACATGATAATCCAAAATAATCTAAAATTCTAATAACAACATGATGAATACTATTATTATTATCAGTATCTATATCATTATGATAATCATTAGTGGTATTATCATAATCATTGGTGCGGTTTTTTATTCTTATTATTATCATTATTATTATTATCATTATTATTATTATTATCATTATTATTATCATTATCATTATCAATAATCATATTTCAATTAAGGTCTTTGCCCTGATACGCTTCCAGTGATCACAAATTGCACCGGCGAGTCCGCATCCTGCATTATTCAAGCCAACCAATCCCCACCCTTACCTGCATACTCCCCAACGTTTATCCTGTTGAAGATACCGAACTCATTTGGTACCAGGATGGAAAAAGTGTATCATATACTGATGAAGTAACGCAGAACGATGACGGGACCGCTGATATCAGTCGACATATTCAGGTGTCTGAAACAGGAAACTTTACCTGTAACGCCACATATCTTTCGGCTAACGGAAGAGAGAACACAGCGGTATCAATTCAAGTATTGATAACACCACCCGCAGGTATGTTTTTTTAAAATAAAAATGCGAAAATTGGTACTTAACACTCGGGTTGCTTTCTGCGCATCTCTGCACTGTTGCTCGTTCGCCACACGTGGAATTTTGCACACAATTTCATACTCTAAGTGATGTCAGGATTGTTTTGTGTAAATAACATGGTTTTGCAAAATTTCATCTAGCACTGGAAACATTAATGAAAGCTTTGGTATATCTTTCTCATGATTAATACGATGTGGTATAAGGAGATTATTTGTGTGCCGATATTTATCATAGGAAAAATAATTAAAAATGGTTTTGTTTCTGCGCGTTAGAAGGATACTGAAGGATGTTAATATTTTTCTTAATGCTATTTATAGATATCATGATACATTATCTTTTACATAGGAATTAATCTGTAAATATCTGTAAGTATGAAATTGCATTAATTTCTTTTAGTACATGTATTGCTAAGCGTGACGAGATCCTCCGTTCTATTTTGCACTTTTAAAAGCCAACCTTATTATCATTGTTTGTATTATTGTTATCAAAATCATTATTGTTGTTTACACATGAAGATATCGAACGAATACCTTCAGAAGACAACACTTACATGATTATCCTAGTTACATTCATTTTTATTTCATAATATTTTGTTTTCTTTAACTTTTCGTCCTTCCTTGTGGCACACCAGGAAAGGGAATGACTAGTGGTCAAATTGCCGGGATAATTCTACTGCTTGTATGCATCTTGCTGGCGATCATCACTCTAACGATCTACTATTTGAAAAAACGAGGTGACTTTTTTCTACTCGAAAACATAATTCTGATTTGAAAGTATTTCGAAATGACTCAATAAAGCAATCTAAATTAGTTAGGTTAAAGAGGGAACATGCTTTTAATCTTAGAATCTGTGTAACTTTGACCAAATATTGTGTAAGATTTAACCTCACAACTCCTCAGAACAAGAGCGGTGATCCCCAACGAGATCAAGGTATGAAGACGTGTTTTGATTATTTGTATAAGTCTCTGGACAGTGAGCGATGAGGTTCGAGTACCTGCAGCAGAGCAATGACGTATTTTGGGACGACATCAATCTCCAAAGTCCATTGCAACCTAAAATACTGTACCAATCGAAGGTCAACCAACTACAATATGTTTTAAAGTGATGTCTATTCTGGTTGATCAAGCAAAATAGTTTAATTATATTAATCAGGATTCCATAACCTTTATTATGTTACAGATGTGAGGACACAATTGATGCGATTACCTAATACAACGAATAGCCCTTCTACTGCTACTGCTACTCATGCTCCTGCTGCTACTACTACTACTACTACTATAGCGACTACGACTGAAACTACTCCTGTAAACGGTGCTACTACTTCTACGTCTTTTCCTACAAACGAAGGTAATACGAATCGAAAGTCATATTTGTATTATTGTAATAGAATGAATGATAAAAAAAAAAAAACGATATGATTTCGAATGATAAGTCGCCCCTTACAAAGACATCAAGATATACAGGTATTTCGGCCTTATTTCTATTAGTATGTATATAAGTTCTAGATCTAAGCAATAGTTCACATTGAACCTCTTTCCTCAAATATTGGCGTTCAAAAAATAAATATTGTACCGATTCTAGCCCCTGTTCTGTCTAATCTGTACTGGTACTGGATTCTTAACATGTTCCTAGAACGACACAATGTCAAGTACCCTGATGGAGCCATTTTTATCTTAAAAAAGTAAAGAATATTAGGTAAAGGAAAGAAGAAATGCCCCTGAAAATTATTGCTTTTCAGACGTTCACTTATTCGAAATAAGACAAGAAAGATGTGAATCGTTTGGAGAAAAAAAAAATCGACATGTGTAATCACTTACCCATACTACTCTATGCAGCGCCAATGACTTCCATCAAGATTATATGTGTTTTAATAAATGTTGTCTCTGTTGGCCGTTGTTCTTCTTTGATTGTTTATGTATTCTATACTCTTTTCACACTCACTATTATCTGAGGGGTCCACAACTTACAAGCTTTGCTTTTCAGTGGACCTCTTCATTTCCTCAAAATAATGCAGTTAAATTTATAATTCAACTTTTGTTTTCCTCAAATGTATAAATTACTATTAAAATTTGTTTATTCTATCTGTAACTATGTTTTATATACATTTTACAATGTATTCGTTATTATGTATTGTACTTTGTTGGAAATGGAAAAATTAAAATGAAATGAAATAAAATGTAGAATTCTCCGAATTTTTGATGAGTATGAAGCCTAATAGTTAAGACCACATTTTTATGGAATAATAATCCTTTCTCAATTACTTGCAGTTTGTTATTTTCTAACAATATTTGCACTTGAAAGGGTTTCTCTCCAGCGTGCGTTTTTTTTTTTTTTTTTTTTGTTGGCCGCCCAAGGGGGGGGGGGGGGTTTAAACCCCCTAACCCACCCCCCCCCCGTAGATCCGCGCCTGTATATATATATATATATATATATATCTATATATTTCTTTGCTTAGACCCGGAAGGAATATTCTTTTACACGCAGTTTAGTAAGGATAAATGTGGCTATTATTATCATTTTTTGTTATTATCATGATAATTGTTTGTATTGCTATAAAAAAGATATATATGATAATAATGATGAATTCTTTTTTTATAAATACGATAGTAAGGGAAAAAGTGTGAAATCAATCATACTTTTAATTATCATTATTGAAAAAAATATTATTACAAAACAATATAGCTTTTAAAAAATTAAACATATCTTCGTTCCATCATTTGATATGTTCCCGATAGAGAGTCTTAAAACAATTATTAGCATAAAAAATGTTAAGGTAACTTTTCTATAACGTTCAATAGGGAAGTAAATTTTATCATGACTGTTTTGCAAATGAACATAATGCTGAACAGATGTGTAATTTCATTTCACACCTTTTTATATTATTTTTTTTACTTAATTTCCTTATTCGTTTAAAGGTACTATGTCCCATTTGAAGGCCAAATAAAATGAAAAAGTTAAATTCCAACGGCATTTGAAAGATAATACTAATTAAATTGGAACTTCACTAAAAAAAAGGGGGGGGGGGTTGCAAATGTCTTTAAGTGGGAAAATAACGACTATAAGTTGTCAAATCGACTTAGGAGCTATAGAGCCAGTATTAAGTAATAGTCTCGATTTTCAGACCATTGTACCGAATGGTTGTACGTTTTAATCTGCGCAACGATTCAATCAGATTACTTTTGACCATTACAAGAAGTGGGTTATTGATGTAGACAAATGCTCAAGTACCGTTTTCAGTTCATTTTATGTATGTTATTACCAAAGAAGAAAAAAAAAAGCCAGTCAGTCACTCAATAATGTCTGACATTGAAGTCTAGCAAGTAAACGGATTTCCTTGCATAATTTGAATATTAGGACACTGCTAACGTTTGAAGTACACAGGTAGGACATACATGACATATTCATAATTCTTGCAAAGTTCTATATAATTTGATTTTGGCTCCACCAAGGACATAGTATCTTTAAAATAATTGAATCCTTATTATCATAATTATCTTTTTCACTAATTGTGCATATATTTTACTTTTTCTACATCCGAGATATCCAAGATATCTACCAAAACTTTCCTTTACATTCCATGTAAAACCATGCCCTTACTTGAAAAAAAAACCTACGTCATTTTGACGTTAAACTTTACAATCCATTTAACTTTTTTTACTTTCTCATACAGTGTACATAATGTCCATTGATCGGTCGCACTGTGCTCGATTGCCTTTCAATATACCAATCTTTAACTTTGCAGCAACGCGTTTTGCGTCAAATTTGTAAATCCTCAATCCCAGACAATGACATATGATACATAAGCTTTTCATACATATAAAGCTCATTTTGATTGATTCATTTTAAGCCCGCCAATTTTCATGTCAAATCATGCTTCATGTCCCATTTTAGAAGCCCGACCCAGGGTTTTGTGCCAGCTAGCCGTGTATGCATACACGTACGTAATGCTATATGCATACACATATAACTGAACATGCATAAGTACAGTACATGTACACACGCAGCGCAGCGCATACGAGCGCACTGCACATTTCATTGGGTCAGTACCATTATAAAAAAGGGGAACAATGAGTGGGATGGGTTTAGTGCCGTAACAATAAACTTGCGCATTACACGCGTACGTATAATTAGAGCAATCTATGCACCCCCAAGAAATAATGAATACGGCCCGACCTCTCTACACACAGAACTGCACAGATACCGCACAGTCCGGTCAAGGCGGTACGCGTAGCGTTAAACTGCCAAATTTACAGAAATTGTGAGGAGCGCTTTTGCTATGAAAGGAATTGATATGAGAGAAAAAAGGAAACTTTGGAATATAGATTTTAATTGTTTGATTTATTTTGTGCACACATTGTGTGCGGGCAAGCACTGAATCCAATGCCCGGGGTAATAGTATATTTATAAAGTGCTTAGAGACATTTGTATTAAGCGCTATATAAACAATTAAATATTTTATTATTATTATTATTATTATTATTTTCTCTTTCAACCAAAATATGTTTTTTTCTGGCAGCCTGCTTTATACATTTTTGCCTTTCGCATTCATATCCTTCCCTCTTCCTTTTTTCCTCCTTCTCTCCTTTCTATAATTCTCTCTCCCGTATCTCTTGATATCTTAATTTGGGTATTTATGATAATAATGTGGAATATAAGAATGTCGTTATTACAATGCTGTTTACATTTGATAAGCCACCAGAAGCAAATTTCAATAAAATTCAAAATAAATCGTCAGAAAGAGAGTTAGGACCTTGGTTTTCAAATGTTTAGGGTTAGGTTTAGGTGCAGAGTAAGGGAACAATTTTTCGTTTTGAATTCACTTCTTTGCAGTTAATTGACACAAAAGCGATGCCTCCGAAGCATAAGGTCGTATAATCGGCATGAGGGCATTGTTAAAAAATGGTTATGGTAGTTTGTTCATTACCTGATTGCAGTAACATTTCACTGTGGTCTGGAAATAATAACTTAAGCATTGCACAGCTACATTACAATCATAATGTTGATTCTATGTATAGTTATATATAGTTTTGGCATTATTATACCTCTTAGTTCATGATATGTCTACATACATATATCTATAATTATTTATGAATATTTTAATCTCAATTTTAGCATTCACTTTATTGAGTGGAGACTTTAATTTGATGTTTTCAGTCAAAAGAAGTAGAGGATTCTTTGCATGACGACATAATCATCTAATTAATATTTAATATTCTAACGTGCTTGAAAAACTGCTCTTATACTCAACCAGTAACATCACCTGACTTACCCAACAAATTTAAACATATTTTGTGATAATAACAATAGACTATTCAGCTCTGCACCCACAACCGAAACAGAACCTTGAAAAACCCACTTATAGTTTTTGAATTGCATTTATTTTTTTCCTAGCAGGAGATGGAGATCCCTCAATTCCTCAGAACATCAATGGTGATCCCGAACAAGATCAAGGTATGAAGACGTGTTGTGATTATTTTTATAAGTCTCTGGCCACAGGCGCATACGCAGGATTTTTTCGGAGGGGGGTTTTAAAATTTGAATATCGCGCCGAAAATTTGCAACAACTCAGCCAGCCGCTGAATGAGCGGGGGGGGGGGGGGGGGGGGGGGGGGGTTTATAATTTTGTTTTTGTCCCGAAAATTTGAAACTTTGACCAATCGATATTTCGTTAGAAGGGGGGGGGTATAAAAGGTCAAAATTTATATATATTTATATATATATATATATATATATATATATATTTTTTGTTTTTTGTTTTATTTAACACAAACTTAGGCGGAGGGGGGGGGGGGGGTAGGGAGGAGGGTTCCTCCAAAACACACGCATTACATTAATTTGAGGAGAGTTGACCCCCAAACTACCCCCCCCCCCCCCCCCCCCCTGCGTACGCGCCTGTCTAGACAGTGAGTCATTAGGTTCGAATACATGCAGCCGAGCAATAACGTCTTTTGGCAAGACATCGATATAAATTCTCCACACTCGACCCACCAGGTTTTTACCATATGTACTGGGAACCAGGTGGGATATAATCCTTGAATGTAATAAGCCCTACGTTTAACCGGAGCTAAAGCCGGGGTAATAATGTCCATTGAAGCCTATAATGTTTCACCAATCAAATATCTACCACCTAAAACATATTTTAAAGTAATATCCATTTTGGTTGATCATGCAAAGTTATGTATTGATATTAATAAGGATTCCATAACCTTTATCATTTTACAGATGTAACTACACCATTGATGTCATTACCTAATACAACGAATAGCCATTCTACTGCTA